CGGCAACGCAACGGTGACGGCCAAAACAAACTCCTTCAACTAAATGGTAATAAAGATAGTTCGTGGTAGATTATCAATCGTATGAATTTAATACAGTTTTAGAAGTTGAAGACACGGGTTTTATGGTTGGGAAGCCGGGCAGCCGTTATATCAAGACGTGAAAATCTGTGATTTGGCGTTGTAAACAGAGCGAGGACAATGTCTAAATTATTCATATATTGCAATTACTCAATTCTTTTCAATGATCTATTATATTGGTTGCCGTCGCGTTGCTCTTCCCATCTCTCCCCACTACAATACTTCATGTAAACTCGTCATATGCGCATCACTGTTTTTTTTTTACAAAGAGACGCCTGGGTACGAGGCAGTTGCTGTCCTAAAATCGTAAGGTCTCTAATAGCCTACCTTAGACGACCTATAAGATATAAGAGTACTTAAGACTACCTTAGTGAGCCTATCTTTAGTTAACCTACTTTAATTAACCTACCTTATAGTTAGCCACTTTAGAATACCTTAGACGACCTTAAAGTACAGTACTTAAGACTATCTTAGTTAGCCTATCTTAGTGTACCTAAGCTTATCTTAGCCTACCTAAGACTACCTTGAGTCACGGCCACCTGTCATAAACTCAAAGCGGTCTCAAACTGCATCAACAAGTGTCGCAGCCCGCTCGTATATTGGCCATATTGTTTAGTTTATTAAGTGATTTTAAAATAGCAAATAAACAAAATTTACCTTGTAAAAGAGAAATACAGTTAAATTAATAAACTTATTTACTTGATACTCTTGATGGCTATTTGATCGGTAATAAGTCGAGAATTAAATATTCCGTAATATGCCGTTAAAGCACAGGGCCGTACGCAGGATTTTCCCACCAAGTGCGGTGAAGTAGGCATGAAGACAGAATAAGTAATAAAAGTTGGATTTACTAAACAGTGTCACGAATATTTCTCGACTTATTACCGATCAAATAGCCAGGCAAGTAAATTTACCTGAGTTTTACTCTTTTACAAGGTAAATTTTGTTTAGTTGTTAATCAACTTTTGAATATCATTTACATAACATAAACTAAATCGAGCCTCTATAGACTATACTCTATAGACTTGCTTATACGCGGCTTATATAAGTTCTATGGGGAATGGTTATATTAAAGTCTGAAAAGCATGTCAGAAATATCTTATTACCTGCATGTTTACTGTAAGCTGGTGCACCATAGTCCATACAAAACCACTACCGGAATCACACAGGACAGCACAATCCAGTCATAGTCTATCAAGATATTGATGGTCTGGAAACCGTAAACATAAGTCATTGTTTTTGCCGCCCGAGTTTATGCTAATTTGTGCACGGTCACGGTGATTGCATGAGTTTTCGCATAATTAAATAATCGTCCAGTAGGGATAGCTGAGATGAAACGTGCTGCAACCACGATAAATAATATTTAATGACGTTGAGACAAAGCGGGATTTGTGCTCGGTGAGGTACAGTTGAGTCGTTCAATATCAAACGAAGGCCTTCTATTCATTGTGGCTTCAGTTGAAGGTCTTTGAACACTGCCGCGGGGTTCCAGATCATCATATCTATAGTTCAAATACCGTCTAGTTCTGAAAAATATGACCTATGGCATGCAAACCAAGTTTATACGTCTCTACATAGCTATAGAAACAATACGTCATTACTTGTATTCTGTTTCTTTCCAAACTTTCGCAGGAAACCGATAATATGCTGCTCCAGGTGCCTATGCTATAGTTGCTTTCGTATTCGAGGGTTGCGACCGCGAAAGCGTTTCTGCAGTTGAAAACTACCAGGCCAAAGTTTCACCGTTATTTTCAAAACTTTTTCTGATGACTGTTTAATAAAGAACTGATTAAGAGGCAATTTTTTTCAATGTCGCGTATTTACAATGAAAAGTGTTCAAAACCTAAAATCTTTTTGGCGTTCCTCTCAAAACTACTTTGTTTTAACTTTATTCTCTAGTTTATATACAGTTAGCTACCTTTTTAAATGCATCTGCCGGTTGAGAAACATAAAATAATAGTTAAAAATGTCAATTAAAATACAATTTCAGGGCCTTTTTAAGAATTTGTTAGTGGGTGAGGGGGGGGGGGTAAAGTGCAAGGATATTCTGAGCTGCACAACCAATCAAATTGCTTGAAAAGCACTATCCACCTCCCGAGTGCATGCTAATAATTATTGTTGTACATCACTGACCACCAAACTAGCTTTTTCATTTGCCTAATCCCCATCCCAGTTCCAGAGGCGCTTAAAGAACGGTTAGGCAAAATGACGGCGAAACGAAATAAATACGAGGCGACAGCATAGATATCTTATATACACTAGATAGTGCATCTAATTATTCTGCAATTCAAAAATTGAAGCCGTGATTGCAGTCTCAGGTCGTTCCCATGAAATGAGAAGATTCGTATATTTCCTATTTCTTAAACACGGAACTTAAACATGAAGTTAACCCTATTTCAAATACGTTTTTAAACTATTCAAATGATGAAAGTTATTGTTGTTTTTAAGAGTTTATTAGCAAGTGGGAACGACCAACATGGCCGGCATCTATTCAAATGGGGGTAACCGCTGGAATATTCTTGGCTTCAATTTTACTAAAAGAGATGCGCTATCTAGTGTATATAAGATATCTATATGGGCGACAGAGCCTCTGGTTAAATCGATTGCATTACTTGCAAATCTCATGCACTTCTATACTTAATTAGGTTCAGAATCTGAACCTCGCATGTGATTGGCTGTTTCTAGAAACACGTCAAACCAGTTTGGAAAATAACATATCTTCACTTGAGTACATGCATATATAACACCAGAAACATAAAAAAATTAAGATAACAATCAAGTTTCGACTCGTAAGGCCATAGGAGACACGATACATAGTTGTAATGGACAAAGATTGAAACTCATTCAAAATTTTTATACTACCCTGAAAGTGTCTTTGAGACAGTAAATCTTGAATAAAAGCTTGCGAGTCTCTCACTGCCATCAGTACCATCTTGAGTTGTAATGTATGTGACTGCGAGTCTACAATAATCACAACCCAATAATCAACTAGGTTGCGAACATCTTTTGTAGCTTGAAATCTTAGGGTTTTTTGCTCCCCCCTTAATATAAATTCCATTCATATATATATAGCTTCCTTTAGAGCCTCGCCCAATATTCGCCATCTTTTTGAACGAAGCTAGGATTGCATCTAAACTCAAATTAATCTCGAGGTTGAACATGTTGAGCACTCTTCTTTAAATCCACATGTGGGTAACGTTGTTTAGCCCCACGATACCACTCATCGTCCAGATCAGAACAGAACGACACATCAAAAAACTTGAGATGCTTGCATTCCATAAGGACCCTAAAAATAATTGTTTTACAAGACTTACACTTCTGCTAATAACCGGTTGACTATAAAACCCTAATATACCTTCTATAAACCGTAACATAAAGCTTACATTTCCGCAGATTTCTTAGAAATATCAGAGTTTCCGAGAATGTCGAGCTGTTCTAGGTAAAAACAGTTTTCAGAAATTGCAATGAGATCATCATCAGATACAGTTCTATAAGAAACCAAACACATCTGACTTACATGGAGTAAATGGCAATACTATAACAACAATAGGCAAACATGGAAATGATTATCTTCAACTTACCTTCATTATATCAATACTAGAAGTACATGCATGCAGAAATGCCCGCTTTACTGACAAAACCATTATATTTTCCAAACATGAAGTATTGAAAGTTTAGTTGTCATGGTAAACACTTCGCAAAAGCCAAAACGTTTTAATTAAAGCTAAACTGCCTATTATCGATAAACTTTGATTTCAAATTCTCGCATGAAAATAACTTTGCTTTCCTCTTTATTTAAAAATTTTAATATAATAAAAAAGGGTAAGGGAAAGTACATTTATTACACCGAGGGAGGGGGATGAAGATGTCTTGAAAAAAGCTCATATTTTTACAGGGCCCCTGTTGAGGTTTATCGGTAAATTTCGATGCCCCCCCTCCAAGTTTTTAAAATTTTCAATGCCCCCCCCTCTAGAATTCGGAATCGAAGGAGTACAATCCGGAATTCTCTCTTATCATAGATACAATTTGCAGTTCCTCAACATGTCTGATATACTCAAGC